AGAGGGAGGTCTGGGCCTCTTTGCTTAGGCTGCTGCCCCCGCGACCCGACCTCGGACAAAGCGGATGACGATGGATGGATGGATGGATGGATGGATGGATGGATGTTTTTTAACCTGTTTTTTTTTTCCTTACAAAGACACAAAAACATAAATAGATCTCCAGTAAAGGTTTGTCATTCTTTACCTTTTCAATTTTTTCATCTAACATCCGGAAGAATTCTTGCTGACTTTCCGAGGAGTGGATGCTCCTGCGAGGAGGGAAGGAGACCAGGTTAGAGGCTGACAGCATGATAGCACAAACAAAACCATTAGTCAGTCACTTACAGAATTTTTCCATTTCCATTTGATCCTGTTTCATCTCCGTGCGGAGCTTTATCAAGGAGAGCACTTACTTCCTGCAGTATCAAACACACAGATAAATGATTGAGGACAGTGAACAACACCATCAAATGCTCACCTCTGCTCTTTTATAAAGAAGCCTGAAAAACACAGAAATGCAAAACTAAATCATTTTTGAATTATGGAGATCCCAGTGTGCTAAAATGTAAAAATGACTGACTCAACAATGAAATTATTATGCACTTAAAAGCAGTAGAAGGAAACTGAAAATAAATGTTTGCTTTTGTTTTTGTTTGCATTTTTATTAATTTTATGCTATTGCTTTCAGATTTGTAACTTTCTTTTACCTACTATGGTAGCCCTGAAAGGTCAAACGCATTGACACTTAAGAAAACACCAGCAAACAGAATAAAGCGCCACCAATAACTAAATAAATATATTTCAATCCCCCAAAACATACCAGAAGTGTTCACCACTTCCACAGCTGGTCCATCTGTTCCCAGAAATACTTCCATTTTTTGTGATTTTTATCACTTGTTTAGCTTTTGCTGCAGTTTTGCTATTTCCATTGTGTTTTGTGTGCTTTGGAAGCATTTTTCTATTTGCAGATGTTTTCTTAAGTTGCTTTTCGTTTGACCTATGAGGGCCACTGTATTATACCTATTTATATATGCAGTTTTTCCTCTGTTGGCTAGATATCTCAGTTCTTGTGATCATCTGAGTGGTTAGTGTTGTGGGAACAAAGGATGACTGTAAAACTGGGTGAAAGGTTAACAAAGTGACACGTAGCCTTGTCATTTACATTACGGAGCAAAAATGCATAAAGAAAAACAGAAATAAATGTATTTTAGGGAAGTGAAAGAAAATGAAAAGAGCTACATAACTCAGAAATAAATGCATTTAAAATCATAAAAAGAATGGGAGTAATAAGGAAGTTAACATAAAAAGATAAATAGGGAGATTACTACAAAGGCAGAAGTAAATTTAAATTAAAATATCAGCTCATTCAGTTTAATGTTGATTTTCATTTATTTATTTTGTATTAAGAAATTTTCATAATGTCCATATCGCCTGTCAAATAATGAAAAAATGTAACAAAAACACTTTCTATCCAAAAGTATCACTTTTATATAATCGGTGCCAAGTATATATGGAAGCTCCTCTGTCCTCCTGCATTATTGGGTTACAGTAGTTCCTCATTAACATGCAAATCGATGCTGCACGGTGCTCTAAAGCCTCAGCTGAGTTCGTGTGATCCTGAGGTTCGCGTCACGACTTACCCCGAACAAACTGACTGTGTTTTTACAAGCCGCCATTAAATACTCCACTAAAGACAAAATAAAAAACACAGAGGACAAAAGAAAAACCACGCACCGTGCTTTCCTGGCCGTCCTCTCCCGCCTCTTCTCCGCTGATGTACTTGACTTTCTCCACTCCTTTCATCTTGTACTCATCTGTGACAGAGTGGGAGACAGAGGAGCACATCTCTGATTAATACGCGACAGCAGCAGCAGACAGCAGGCACGCAGAGGATGACCCACTCATGGCCGCTCCGATCACCACAATCCTCCGAGGTTAATAGTTCTCACAGTTCAGTACTTGGTAAAGTAATTACATGGTTGAATTCTCACACTCTAGACTAAATCCTCTTTTAACAATGGCTGGCAAGCTGCAAACACACGAGCTGTTAGCCTGATTCTCCTCTCCATTTTCTGCCTCACACATGGGCAGTCTCCCTCTTCTCAACCTCTCCCACGCTGCACATTTGGAAAAGAAGAAATGAAAATATAGATATGGCACATAGACTGTTACTGTTCATCTATAGAAGCAATCACATTAATTCAGATGTAAGACGATAACCTGCGTGTTACAGGTTTAATACAGCTACCTGAATACAGGTTTGACTAACTTCTTTATTTAAATTTTTTAATTTAGACTGTTACAAAAACAGATGTGACATGTTTTGTACCTTTACTTATATATACCTTAATATAACCAATACACCTTATTAGGAAAAGCTGTACACCTGCTTCTTGATGTAATTACCCAATCAGCCGGATCGTGTGGCTGCAGTGTGATACATTAGCTCATGCTGATGCAGATCACTTCACTTATTTCACAAACGCTGTATTTTTGTAAGTGCCAGATGGACTGGCTTGTATTTCTGAAACGGCTGATCTTCGAGGATTTTCAACACAAGTCTTTGTTTACCCAGCATGCTTTGGAAAATTAAAAACCCATCCAATGAGCAGCTGTCCTGCACTGCGCATCCTCCATGCGCTCCAGCCTTTAATCACTCTCCATTGATGAGAGTGATTAAAGGACAATGGCCAGGCTGTGATTGAATGGCTACAGAATCTCAGATAACCAATATTTACTGTGAAAACTGCAGCAGGCACAGACACCATTACAGCTCTGTTTAATCTTGATTTCTGCTGAGTCTTCAGATTGGAGGGTCACAATTTGGTGTCAACAGCATGAATCAGTGGACCAGGCCTGCCTTGTGTAAAGGCTGCTGCTGGTGGTGTAATGAAGTGGAGAATGTTTTCTTGGCGTATTTTGAGCTCCTTAAAAACCCACTCAGCCATAGTTTGGATGCCACAGCCTATCCGGGTATTGTTGCTGGCCACGTTTGCAGTGCTATAATTGGGGGGGGGATTCAGCAGGAGCAATGTGATGTAATCATGTCTACATGGACGAGGAGCTCAGAACTGACCTCCTGTGGAACCCGGGTCAACAAAAACTGTTATTGAGGCGCATTTACATGCAAGTGATGTAGATGCCTCTGTGACTGATTTTAACTGTGGCGTTCCTCAGGGCTCGGTCCTTAGCCCACGTCTTTTTTTAAAGGAACGCGCTTCCTCTCACCCTGATCGTTCACAGTGACAGAGTCATTAACTCTGATATGCAAATGACACACAGGTCTATGTCTTCCTGCTGTACAATAACCCAGCAGACTTAAAAATCTATTCATCTGCATTAATTATATCATATACTAGTTGTCTATGTTCTTTTTAAAGCTAACAATGGCAGCTTTGATGTGAAAAAAATCTGCTACCTACACATGCATTTGTTTTCTTGCATTAATTATTACAAGGCTCTTTACAGTGCCATCATTTAGCGCTCACTTCACTGACTCCAGATGAGGCAGAACGGTGTTGCTCAGATCGTAACAGGAAGCAAGAAATGGGAACACATCACTCTGGAGCTGGGCTGCCTTTTCAAAGTCATACTGACTTTAAAATTTTACTTATAACTTTTAAAGCTTTAAATGGCTTTGCTCCAAAGTACATCAGAAACATATTAACCACTTATGTGCCTGAGTGTTTACTTAGATCGGTGAATGCGGCTCTGCTGGTTATTCCAAGGCCTCAACTAATAAATAAAGAACAGAGGGCTGCTGCCAAGTGTGGAACAGTCTTCTGTCTGAGATGAGAATGGAAATGTCTTAATTTGCTTTAAAACCTCTTAAAATGTTTTAATTGAAAATGTTTAATAAATGTTGTTAGCCCCCTCTAGTATGTTCATATTAGCCTTGCCTTTTTATTTCATGTTTTTAACTAGTTCTCTGATTTTGTTTTAAACTTTTTATTTGAAGCACCTTGTGACATTGTTATATAAATGTGTTGTTGTTGTTGTTAAGTTATTGTTACATTATTATTGTACCAAACTGCTGTTTGTCAGTGCCACATACTAAAGTTCAGAACACATTACAATACAAACACAAGACTCCCAGTCAGGTAAACATCCTGAATCTCAGTAAATGTGGCAAAGCTTCCTCATGCTTGCTGTGTCAATAAAGGATAAACTTAAAGGTAGTTCATCTTTATTTCTTTTAAGCATTTCATTAAAAAAAATTGTTACTATAATAACCCTTAATGGCATGTATTTTTCACATTTTACAGATCTGTTAGTAAAATGTTGTGGCACATTCGCTGACAGTCTTATTATTATTCCTGACAGACCTAAAGTCATCTTAGAAATTACAGTATTTTCAGAAAGTACCTGAACAGGTATGTGAGAAATATGAATGTAAAGGTAATTTTTGCATAGCCAGACTCACCAGACAGGAGGTCTCCGTTGCTGTAGGCTTTATTCTGCTCCTCCTCACCGTTGGGCACGGCAGACACCTGCTTGGCCGAAGTGCAGCCCATCTCCTTCTTCTCCTCAGCTGCTCTTTACCTCAGCCCCGAGCATGACAGGCACACCTGGGGTAGCGGAGGACAGTTATGAGGAAGTGACGGCCGGCCCATGATTAGATAAGCCGAAGGGATCACACAGGAGGGGGAAAACTGAAGATTTTGTCTCTGGGGATCACGATCAGTGCACAGGAAAGAAATGCAAACTAGCCTTAATGTCCCCGAACTCCAGCCATGGGAATCACTGTTTCCATAATCAATTAGTCATGAAGCGCCCCACCCTAGAATTAAAACACGCGGGCATCTTCAACTATTCTACCAGAGACAGTATAATGGATGGTTTCTCCTGGTTATGAATCACGCACACGTCGCTCTGGCAGCCACAGCGTGCGCACGGCGGTGCCAGCTGCACCGCAACAATAAGGCCATTCAGGGTGTTGGGATGCCACTGTGCCAAGCCGCCGGGTCATTTTTATTAGCGAATGGGGGCTTTCTGTGGCGCTCAGAGGATTAAAGCGACTGCGCACAAATGTTCCCATCCTCACTGTTACACCGGGCTATAGGAGCCACAGAAATATGGCTAACAGTCTGTTACACCTAATCACTTGATCGCACGCTAAGTGCTTTGCATTAGGCTCTGGAAAATACAAAGTGCTTCATCCCCTTATGTTATGAATGATCCTGCGGGGTCCAGCTGTAGGGGACTCAGCTGTTCCCGCACCCTAAACAAGCCTTCTTACGACTGGCTTTAATTTGCACATTTACACAGATAAAAATAAATAAATAAATAAATACAATAAAAAAATAAAAAGCGACATCTCCTCGCGACACATTTAGTTGTAGACAAGCAAATAGAGAAGAACTGCTTTTAAAGCCGCAGAATAGCCACAATCTTCTCATCCAGGGGACTTATACAAATAGAGGGGGGG